ATTATAAGCAATTCAATGTAACGAAGGTGCTCATAAGTTTACAGATCAGGAGAGAGAGTCAGGTAGAATGATATTTTACATTATATATACACACACACATGATGTAATCTTTAAACATGAGTTTAGATTTCGCAAAGAGGTCAATGTGTCCAAATTGTTCAATATACGTACGAGCGCGCCGCGAAAGAACAGAATTTGAATGATGCCAGGGAGTCAGTAACATGTAGTATTGCGGGTGGGGAATTTTGGAATACGAAAGATGATTTTTGAGACAAGATATGGACAGTCAATATTACTGTTTATTACATCGTATAACAAAGCCATGTCAAGCAAAACACACCTGTGTTCCAAAGATAAGAGATCATGCTCAGTGCAACTGTCTGTGTAAGTATCGATTTTATTCCGACAGCGAAAGTTAAGGTGATTAACAAATATTTTTTGGATACCCTTAAGGCGGCTTTTGTAAACATTGTACTGTGGAGACCATATCGAACTAGCATATTCCAAAACACTTCTGACATACGCAAAATAAACCATTTTAATTGCATTCATATTCGAGAATGGTTTACAGATGCGAAGAACAAAACCAAGATTTTTATAGGCTTTACTAATAACATAATCAATGTATGTGTTCGGATAGTATCATTTTACAATCAAAATTTACGCCAAGTCCCTAACACTTAGTTTTCGGCTGATTTTTAATCCATCAAAGTGATATTTATTTAGAATTGGCTTAGATTTTCGTGTAAAACTAATACATTCGCACTTGCCTGCATTAACAGTTATATTATTTATTTTGTAGTATTCAAATAAACGGTCCAGGTCATTTTGTATCAGTAGGCAGTCATGTATGGTGTTAATTTTACAAAAAATCTTCTTATCATCTGCATACATGAGATAATTTATGTGTACAATGCACGAACCAATGTCATATAGGTAGGCATTGTAAAAAAGTGGGCCTAAGTGAGAACCCTGAGGAACACCTGTAGGTATGTTTATGTAGCTCGAACGGAAACCACCTGTCACGATTACCTGTGAGCGGTTTGTGAGATATGATTCAGTCCACCGGAACAAGTCACCGTGAATTCCTAATATTTGTAATTTGTTGAGCAAGATCATGTGATCCAAACGATCGAAAGCTTTTTCAAAATCAGTGTAGATTACATCAACCTGCCTACCTTGATCCATATTTTCAAGGAGAAAAGAAGAAAAACTTGCCAAATTCGTAGTGGTGGATCGCCTTTGTAAAAAAACTATGTTGCTGCTCAGGGAGTAAATTACGTTATATACTACTCGTTCAAGGATTTTAACTGCGGTGTTCAAAATAGAAATGCCTCTATAATTCTTTATTTCTGTACGTGATCCCTTCTTGTGTACAGGGACTATGTGTGCACACTTCCAATGATGCGGAAATATCCCTTCACGCAGAGAGCGATTAAATATAATAGTCAAGGGGAGAGCAAGTGATTTAGCGCATCGTGACCAAAAAAAAGAAGGTAACCCTCACTACCGGCACCTTTGTTCGTGTCCAAAGTTTTCAACATTTTTTTCAATTATTGCAACGTTTTTCTGTACATTAGAAACGATGTCAGTACACCTCGATACCGTATGTGGATATATGTAGTTACTACTAGGTACACAAAATACACTCTTGAAGAATTAGTTGAAAGCATTGCATATGTCTGTATCTTCGGTGTACTCTGCACCTTTCAAAGACATTTTCTTAGGGTATGCTGACCCGCCCCGAATGGCTTTGTCGAAACTCCAGAACGTTTTAGGATGTGTTTTAATGCTATTTTCACAACTTGATGTAAATTTATTAAAGCATTCTCTCTGAACACGGCGTTCTCTTGCTGGGAGTAATGAAAACTCATCGTAATCTAATCTATTCCTGATTTTTTTCCAACGTGTGTGAGCTATTGTTTTCTCCTTAATTATTTTAATTAAAAATTACAATAATTCTTTGGGAGCTTTAAAGCGTCTCGTGGAAGTTATGGCCGAAGGAAAGTGTTTAATATTATTTTATCATTATTTATGGGACATGTATAAAAATCAACCATTAGAATTGAAATTAACCGTATTTTTAGTTACTTATCTCGCCTGTTACCTATGAATTAGCCGTCTAATCAACTGAAGAGGTATGTTGGCACTAGCATTCAATCCAGAAATAAATACTACTCGAGGCCTCACATTTTGTCCTTTAGAAAATAAGTTATGTCTGTTGGCACTGGGCTCTTGGACTATTACTGCATGAATTGACGTGAAACAAATATTAGTACAATGTACGTAAAAAAGGCTTTTATAGTAGATATATCCGTATTATGATGTTATTCATAAGGAACAATGGCGAAAAAATTGTTGATGGTATAATGATATTCTATCAGGTAAGAGATGCGTTCAGGAATTCTGAATTATTCAAAATTTTAAATCTTCAGAGCAAATGCAAGATTTAGTTGATATTGATTTCGCAGGTTCGCATTGTTCGCAAGTTTCCAATAATCGATTATGTGTTCATTGACTTCGATGTATCGATGTTTGACATGTTAAAACATCAATGTTTTAATTTTTAACATCGATGATCATCGAACATCCCTAGACTGCGTTAAAGTTTTTTGTTAGACACCGTAATTTCATTGAGAAGTAGGATTTAAATTAAAGTTTATCAATTTTTACATTATTATATTAATACACAATACAATACCCCAGCAGTTTAAATTTTTTTTTCATTTTTCTATTTTTTGCAATATCCATAGTTTGGCTTTTTTGGCTAACAAATTAACTTTCTAATATTTCTGTCCGATAGTCCGTCTAATATTTATATTATTCGTTTTTTCATATTTTTGTGCGGTTACCAACCCTCCACCCAAGCGTGCCAACTATAGCAAATATCCCCCCTAGCAGGCAATTTACAGGGGAGGTCTTTGATCAGCCGTGGACTTTGATTGTTTGTAATGAATGAAAAGATGAGACTCAACTGCAATACATTTCTATAGACTACATTAAATAATTTGTTTCGTTTAGTGTAAACGTGCGGAATTTGAATCCGTGAACCCGTTTATAACACGTGTGCAAGCTATATGAAGCTGACCATGAGAAAAACGTGCAATTCTCAAATGTAATAATTTCAAGGTTTGACCCTGAAATTTGTTGATTTTCGTTGTAAATGTTACTTTAAATGAGAATTGTAACCATACAAAAAAGTTTGGTTAATTGGTAGTTTTGTTTCTTGGTGGCTTCTCCTGATGACACGCAATTTATATGGACTTCATAATCTAAATGCATCTTGGTTCATTTATTCATAAATTCATACTTATCAAAAGTCCACTGCTAAACATAGGCCTCCATATGTATAGGGGAGATATATGTCGTACATAGATTACTCACTAATCTGTGATGTCGTAGTTGCCACGCATGTCAAGCGGGCTTGACAACCGCAGTTTTTAATTTTTTTTAGTTGTTATTAGGAAGACGCCAGTCTCTTGATTTGTTTCCTTCTGTCGCCTCCTATGACGCTCACGGTACAATATACCGTAGTAGATATTCTTACACTGCCATTCCAGGTTACGCGTTAATAAAGCGGGTACTCTTACTTTTAATTCCGGCTTATCGTGTCACTTCGGAAAGCTCCAAAGAATTTAAAAACTCCACGGGCCACGGGCTAGGATATAGAAACATCTGAAAAATTTTCGAACTATTTATGACTAATTTTTTTGCAAATAATTTGATTTCGCGATGATTTTTTTTAATTTCCTGCCAAACGTTTAGTTTTATGAAATCATTACCAGATCGCGCAAATGACTTTTATTCTATTCTACGCTTTTTTGTACCTATGTACAAATGTATGTGTTTGTGTTGCTTTCGTCACAGAATACCTTTATCCACTTTAATCTCGATAAAATAACCAATGGTTTTCGCATAGCTTCTCGGTGGTTTTATGCCGTTTTTTTTAATAACTGGCTTTACAGCTCTGGGTTCTAGCCCTTCTGTGTCTGAAGTTACAATGTATAATAATTATCCTTCATAGCACACTGCTTCACAATATGTTGATGGAGGCTTTGGGAGATTTTGATGGCAAATTGAGCCAACAGACAGCTGACAGTTGGCGATGGTATCTCAAGGCACCTAAGGAGACAGACACCTTTTCTTGAGAATCACATCACCAACAAAGCAGTTGTATCACCGTTTCCACTAATAGTGCACATGCGCAGACAGTTAATACACAAAATTGCACCACTTTTACATAAAATCCACTTCAAACCATTATTTAAACAATAATACAAAAGCAGCAAACCGCCGCCGGTCAAGTGCCCGGCAAAACTTTTTCCTCATCCTCTTCCTCCTTCTATGCGTGGTTAAAAACCATCACAGAGTATACAATGTGTTTAGACAAGAAAAAGTTATTAACCACAGAATACTAACACAGAGTAAGGAGTAAGGATTCTTAATTTTCTCATGTGACTAGTTTTCTCTGTCTACGTTAATACCTTTACCCAAAGATATTAGGTATGTATATATGTATAAAAACTTATATATTTTTAATATATCTTTGCCTTTACCTGGGTATTTTAGGTACCCGAAAAGTATTATTATTCTGTGCACGGCAACCTATGCTGGCAGCGTATGTTCTGTGATCACAGATCACAGCTTTCGAGCTTTGTGTTTCTAGTTAGTTTGCGCGAGCAGCTTTCGGTCACTTTCGGTTTAGATAAGAAGGTACCTACTCTGCGTGTATTCCGATAACACATCTACAGCACAGGCACAGCGGCACAGCTCTAAATTTATTTTAAACGGAACTCGAGACTCGAGAGATACGAACACGCCCTGTAAAATTGTTTGTTTTGTTTATTTGTTTGTAAATGTTATTTTATTAGGTCTTTTGTGATTAGTAAGAATATCGTGATATAATTGCGTGAAGTGAAAATAATGTTTTTTTTCTAGATATGTAAAATTTGAACGACGTAATTTCGTGTAGCCGGCACACCTACTTTACAAATAAAATAATGAATGACAGTGGTTGCATTCACTTAAGTAATTTTAAGGCTGCAAAGGGAACAAATCCATATAAAATTGTACACGCATTTTTTGTTTCGTGCACTTCGTTTGAAGCAAGAAGATACAAGGTAAAAATAATGGTGGTTTTACGTCGGTATTCATTATGTGCGATAGGCATATTACAATGACTGGAGCCTTCTGGACATGTTTAAGAGATACTTTCATTGAATCTATGTTTATTAATGATGTTGTAAGCCTTAAAACACTTTAAACATTTGTCTGAAAATTTTAGCTATCAGCTGATAAGTAATCTTTGACCTAAAACAGCTGTTTTACAGCAATTTGTTTGGTCCCGTTGTAAAGACATGACAGTCGTAATAATAAGTTTTCTTATAATTTTATCTATTGTTGTGTGTTGCGAGTATACCTATTATAACTTATTTAGTAGCATTGAAATATCATTAAAATATATGCCATTATGTTTATTCCACTTTTATTGTTTATTGCTTAATGTTTATATAGTGTTTTTTTTTAATTTGTTGTTAAGTTTAAAGAACATTGTTTAATTTCTTTTAGATAAAAATTTGTGAATACTAAGCAGTTTACTTAATTATAGGCTACATCATGTCTGTGCTTCACTTGTGGTCAGCCTGGACCACGCATGCATTCCTGTCTCCACTGCATATTTTTTGCATGTTATGCTGGACATATTCAAGACCATTCAAAGTCAAAAAAACATTTCCTCTATGTGGACCTAAGCTATGGAAATATATTCTGTGCACAGTGTCAGGATTATATTTACGATAGAGAATTAACTGAGATTGCTATGACACATCGGTTAAAAGAAGCTAAGTAAGTAAATTTTTATGTTATAATACATTTAAGTTCAATTTAAATTCACAAATAAAAATTTACTTTTAATTAAAAGTAAAACCCAACTTTTAAGATCTAAAAAGAATAAAATAATTTCACATTCTGAATTTGATGCTAAGACAAGTGTCATTATGCTGTAAGTGAAATTATTTTGTTCGTTTGAGTTATTTGGAGTTGGGTTTTAGTTTTTTTAAAAGTTAATTTTTTTATACCGTTTTGAGTGGACTAAGGAACATCATAATCCCTTAAATAGCTATATCTTCATACCCTATTTTTCACCATATGTATGTATATGGTACCACCCCTGAAATAAATAACCTATTTAATACAATTAAAATCATAATAATTGCATAACACTTCTACACAAAAAAAAAAAAACACTTGAATTATAAAACCTCTTTTCTTTCAAGTTTGTTAAAAATCAGTTCGTCACTTATTCTAAAATGGCTTATTCAACTTTTGTTCTGATATTTCAATACAATATTTTTAGGTATATTGTAATAGGTTGATTTATCTCTTATTTGTATAATATTATTAATTCCAATCCACCTTGAATGACTTTCCCATTGATTTATAAGCCAATAAAATTCCTTAATTCTCATATAGGGATAATCTAAACTTTATTTTTTTCTTGGGCAGTAAAAGTTTACTGTTGAACATGGGGCTTCCCCGTTGTAGTTTGCCTGATTCACACTTGGTACACGGATTTATACCACTATTATTTAATATCCTGCCCAGTGTGGTGAGTATTGGTATGTGCTTTAATAAATAGATTACATGATGATTTTTTTATAAAGTTACTGGATTTAGGCACATGAAGAATATACAGTAAAATATATTAAATCCAATACAGAATTTAGAGGTGTAATGCTTTAATATTAATTTATATCTCTTTATTGATTTATTTTATGCAGGTTTATGTACTAAAACTTTAAGAAAAATAGGTATATAAATACATTCAATAACAATGGATATATGTATACATGCAGATGTGCATGCACACATGTGCACAGCGAAGCACACGCACCTCACACAAACAGACAACATCTGCACTTGATTTAAAATTTATTTGTAAACAGGTCATTAGGAATCAATGTGCCATTTACACCATGGATGCCGAACAATAACGAAGCAATGGCACTACGCCGCCTTCGTAAACGAAGACTCATCAGCCCACATACAACAATTGGTTTACGAGGTCTACAGAATCTTGGGTCCACTTGCTTCATGAATTGCATTGTGCAGGTAGGAATATTTGACAACTGCTACACTGAAACAATTCAATAAAGGTTTTCTAAAATTTTATTTATATTGTACAAAATAAAGTTACATTTGTGTGTTTCTATACATCTTTATATATAAAAATTTCATGCCACGTTGTTTGTCCGCAATGGACTCCTAAAATACTGAACTGATTTCAATGAAATTTTGAACACTGTGCGTATTTTGGTCCAACTTGAGAAATAGGATAGTTTTTATCCCGCTAAATGACCCTCAAAATTTTTTTTTGCGAATTTAAGAATTTTTATAGGAAAGGTCGTTGGAAAGAGCAGAACGTCTGCCTGGCGAGCTAGTATTATTTATATTAATGTATGTACATACACATTTTCTATTCTACATAATATGGTATTTCAATTTTCACATTTTAATTTTCTTGATCAAAATGAAGTAAAATCCACAAATTCCATCTAAAGTTATAGCTTTTTTTGGAAATATAGAATAATGTACGTAGGCCTCCTTTTCTTGATAATAGCCCATCAGTAGAGACCACTCTCTTACCTACTACAGTCCCTGTGCAGGGACTACGACAGGGGTAATGAAATTAAAACCCAAATAGCAGTGCCTACACTTATAATGTACTTTGTTATAATGTATGTGCCAAATAAACATATTTCTTTCTTTCTTTCTATTTGGGCTTTAAATATTGAGAATAGAGGAGCCAGTATAGTTACAGCCTGTGAGGTTTGCCATCTTAGTCCTCAGAGGGGACAACTCATAGCCCCCTTTATTTGAAGTTGGTTGCAGATTTCCAAGCACAACAGTCGCCACTTACCATCAGGTTCACTGAAAGTTTGTCACTTCAGTTTTATCTAGGTATATCTATATCCATACAAATATATAAAAATGAAGTCTATGTTTGTAATTTAAAAATTTTTGTCTGTATTTGTGTCTGTATTTGTGTCTGTTTGTTTCGGCTAATCTCCGAAACGGCTGAACTGATTTTGACGGGACTATCACTGGTAGATAGCTCATGTTATGAGGAGTAACCTAGACTACTTATATTTTAGAAAAATAATTATGGTTCCGCGCAACAAAATTAACACCCTAAATTACACGCGCGCGAAGTCACGGGGAACAGCTAATATATAAATAATGTAATACAAGTTTTATCATAAAATTACTAAGTTTGCATTTTTTACAAAACAAGGACTGTATAAAAAATGTTATAATAATGAATACATAGTTGATAACAACCCCTTGAAATTAGGTGATTGCTTCAAAGATGTTTCTTAAATGAGTTTTCTAATTAATTGTACACCCTGTTTTTCATAGTATTATGTTACTATACTATACTGGGCTAAGTGGCGCGCCTTGGGAAAGACCCATGTCCAGCAGTGAACTGACGCAGGCTGATGATGATGATGTTACTTTTTTTAAATATCCCGTTGGGTTTCTTGCTGGTTTGTGGTGCAAATCAGTGGTAGAAGTAAAAATAATTTTCAATAAGAAATATTTATATTCTATGATATATAATCATTATTTAATAAAGAAATATTCTATTCTATTTAATCTCTTTCAACGTCGGCCTGTAAAGATTCACTACTGGCTGGACTGGGGCGTTCGTGCACAGTAGCCCCGATTAATTACCGATCGCAGCACCAGACTTAAGCGGGGAATTCACTTGACGGACATGTTCGTGGCCATGTCTGTCCGGGCATGTCCGTCGCCGCAATACACTACACAGACTCATTAGTTTGTTTTAAGTCTGTGTCCGCGCAGACAAAATGGGATCGCGCGGACGTTCAACAGGCAAGTCTGCCAGACCGACTGTGACGGTCCTACCTAAACTATGAAACTTTGCACAGACCTATAGTAGCGAAGTCTGGCAGGCATGTCTACAGTCTACAGACATGCCCGCGGGCATGTCCGTCAAGTGAATTCCCCGCTTTACCTTTTGACGGAGCTCGTCGATCTGGGTATGTTATGTGGTATGATAACACACCATTTATCAGAGATCATGAGAATTTTTTGGCATTTCACATAGTTGTCTCTTACGAAGAATGCGGTGCTTACCTAAATTTTATAGTAGAGGTGCAATCCTAGTTTGTTTAATTAATTATCACCACAAAAAAATTATGGACTTATCACCTGTTTATCCCTGTAAGAGAACATCGAGAGGAAACTTCAAGAAAGGTAATATACATTTCTTGGACATGTAAAATTCGTCGATATATTATAGTGTATGTAGTCGCAGCCAATACTTGCGGTACACAATAATTTATTCTATCTTATTAATTTCATCCCGTTTCGTTAGAGTCGACTTTAGTGGGTGCCAGGAAGTCCTCATGGTTTTTAATAGATGGCGGTGTACACCTTGAGCCTATATTTTGTACTAGACCCCGCAGACTGTAAACAATTTGCAGGACTGACGGTTCACTTCTCCGTGCTCGCCGGATACAATATGCTAACCGGACGTCAGAAATTCGTCTTATCAGTTATGTCGGAGGACGTGCTCTCCATACATCTATACATATAATAAAACTGTAAATAGCAGATGTCTGTACATTTTATATTTTTGTAATAAAAGTGATTGAGGGGTACTAAAAATAAGTAATTAAATACATTTCTACCATTTTTAGAATTTTCTGTCTGTCTGTCTGTCTGTCTGTCTGTCTGTTTGTTTGTTAACGTATCACGTATAAAGTACTAATTTCTATCATAAGAATCGTTAAGGAAATTATAAAGTGTATCTTCGTGTTACATTTAGTCTTTATTTCATTAAAATCAGTTCATTCCATCAAAAGTTATGATAAATATTCTGAAGTATGAGTACGAAGTATAGGTACGAATTTGTTCAGCGGTGGCGATGGTTGAGTCATCAAGTGCATTTTAAACTAATATCATATCATAAATCATAATTAAATTATTAAATTATGTAAAATAATGTTCTATAATGATATAATTATATCTAAAACGCAGTAAACAAAAGTATTAAAGAACGTATTAACCTTATTAACTAAAAAAATCTAAAGTATAATAGTTAACCAATTTCATCGATAGATGGTGGTATGGTGCAAATGTACTTCAAAAAGGCTGTGGTTTTCCTGTAGATGAGTTTTCATATTTATTGTTAAGCTTTATATTACTCGCTGCCCTACTGCGTGTTGACAACTCATTTATTCTGTCTACTGTCGAGTACTCTATGTGGTAAATCAAATTTAAAAAAGCTATTAACAATTCCGTTGGTTTCGGCGAGAATCAAACTTTATTTTTTGCTTACTATGCAGTCACTGATTTATAAGTTCTTTTATGTTTTATATATATAATAATGTATCACTCGCGTCAATTAATCTCTTTTATTTTTAAGATTGATGATTGATGTTAGCAGCGCCATCTCTCTTTAAATTTATACATATAATAAAAATGATGATAACATGTTGTGTCTGTTTTTGTACATTGTATAGAATATTTGTCACTAAAATCATTATGGGGAAATGAACATAATTAAATAAGCACATTTTTATAATTTTTAGAATTGTCTGTATGTCTGTCTGTTTGTTTATGAAAGCATCACGTCTAAAGTAAATATCTTTTTTTTTTCAAAGTAATCGTTAAGAAAATCATGAAGCGTATCTTCAAGTTTTTTTTGTTTTATTAAATTTAATTTTTGTTTTATTAAATTTGGTTAATTCTATCGAAAGTTATGATTACTATTTTGAAATGTAGGTTCGACTTTATTCAATGGCGCCATAAAATCTCAGAAAAAGTAATAAAAAGATTTGTGTGTAAAAAAAAACGTTCTATAATAATATATTTATATTTAAAACACAGTAAACAATAAGTTTTCCTTAAATTAAAAAAGTTTTCTCACAAAGAACGTAATAGATGGCGTTGTACAAATTACATTATTTTCTGCATTGCGGTGATAAGATACTCCGAATCGTACTGAAACTCACTGAAGTGAGGAAACAACCAGAACCAATGTTCAAATGAAAATTAATAGATGTGATAATATATATAATAAGTTAACAAGAAAGGAGTGTCATTTCAATTGTTATTGTTTGAGCGTAGTGATAATATTATGCTCTTAGGTTTTTTCATTAAGTCTTAAAAGTATTCTGTGCTTTAGAATCACTGATTAGAATACTACTAAAACTCTATAGACATAGATTACTGCTCTATAGACATTAAGTAAAATAGTCAACCAGTGTTATCGAGAGTCGATAGGTAGCGATAATACCAAATAACTTTCCTTTTAGTTTTAAGCGTTTTCAGTTCCCAGTCAGTGTGTGTTATGCGATGACCGTAAATAAAGCGCAAGGTCAAACTTTACGCGTTGCAGGAGTGGACCTGAGTACAGACTGTTTTGCACATGGCCAACTCTATGTTGCTTTTTCCCGCGTTAGTAGCCCCCGTAACCTTTTTGTGTACGCCCCAGATAATTCTACTTCTAACGTCGTTTACACTGAAGCTCTATCATAAACGACATGGAACTATGAGGATAACGAATTATTTTGTTATCACTTATTGATCCAGTAATGATATAAATCGTTTAATATTCTCTTACCTAAACGTCAAATTCTGTAAGTTTTACTTACAGAACCCTATATACGCGAGCTACGCCGCGGGCACAGCTAGTTTTGTAATATAAGCGTTATTCACAGTGATCTAACTTATTTATTAGTTGCTGGTGTTCGAGAGTAACGAACGCACGTGAAAAATCAATAAATAAAATAAGCACAATATTTTTTGATTCACATAATCAGTAAACTTCGATAGAAACTCTGTTGCGCCTTTCCCCATTTGAAAGTCCAATTGATTCTGATAAATTTACGTCATGCTTGCTATAGAATTTGTGCACTTGTTCACAAACATATATTATTGCGATAATTGGAACAAAGGGTAAGGGTTGCAAACCCCAAATTTAAAAAAAACAAGGTTTTGAAGTTGGAAAAACCAGGACAGTTCAGTTTAAAAACAGGACGCAGTAAAGGCCTTGTCAAACAACTGCGAACCGAAGCGAA